CCCATTGACTGGCTTGCACCGTTACCAAGTCCGCTAAACTACCCCCCCCCCCACCCTTCTTTCACCATTCAAATAGTGTCGGTGCAAACTTGTCCAACTTCCGACTGCAGCTCGAGCTAGGTAAGTAGAATACGTAATGAGTACGTCTTGACTTCGGATTATTATATGAGTCGGCCCATTATAACTAATCGTTCGATATGCCTCGCTATCGAGCCTCAGGCGAATATTCGCATAGCAAATGAAACTTGTACACACATACACACACACACACACACACACACACAGGAATCACAATTATAACTCGTTACTGTGTGGCTTTAGATTTGAATAAATATGGTCGAATTCGTTCGGAACTGAGAAATATTTTTTTCGATAAATAACCTAGCAATATACGTTCTGTTAATAACGCTTAATAAAAAAAAATGAACGAAAGGAGAAATTATTATAATTTCATATTTATATTTTGCCTAACCATCATTATAGTTAATAATGTGTACTAATAAAGAGAATTTTACAACTGTCCATGGACTAGCTAACATTCCGCGTTGAAACGCGGTCGGATCGAGCTCTTACCTCACTAATTCACGTCGCTCACCGTAAAACACTTCACGCTCGAGAGAAATCGAAAATTCCTAGATAATTTCTCGTCACGCGATCATTCCTCGTCGAGTGGCCACTCACACGGGCGCGATCTAATTTCTGGCTTAATCTTGAAGGCGCGGCCCCTACGATGACGGAAAACGACGCGAATGCGAATGGTCATACGCGCAATCACGATGCGAGGAGAGATGTGAGGGTGAAGATAGAAGGGAGGCGACGGGGGGAGGGGGAAGGGGGGTAGAGGGGAGTTTAGGGTAGTTGGGCGATTCTATAGCGATGTATTAGCGCTACGATTGCCGCCAGCAGCCTCGGCCTAAGTGAATAGCTCTGCCGAGGGCTTTGCTGATTATGGCGTCGCCATTGATCCAGATCGAAATTGGCTTGCCTCTGTCATGGAACGCGCCCAGAGGACCATTAATATCCTCCGCGGGTTAAGAGCGAACGGTCGCGACGCTCGTATCGATGAGACGAGAGGAAGAGGCAACTAATCGGCAAATATAGCCGCAGATCGAGGTGCGAAGCTCCTCTCGTTGCTGTCGGGATATATCAGCTTATTAAACGATTAAATAATCAACATACGAACGCTTCTGCTGCCCGTCGAGGGGTTTCTCTTTGGGATTCTATAAATAACAATTCTGGACAATCGAAAAATGATTCACAGCGAAAGAGTGCTTAGACTTATAATGCTGTTAGACTTATAATATTTTGTTTGTAAAGGTACAGAGAAAATATTTTTTGTAAAAAATGAAAATATTCTCTGTTTCTACTCTGGTATTTTAAAATATACATCAGCACCAGCACATATCTACAAATCTGATTTTTTACGCGCATTAATTTTTTAAATATGCAAAACTCGCACCATTTTAAATATGCGCAACTTGCAGCGTTTCTTCCTTTCTTAATCTCGTAAAAAAAAAATAGCGACACATAATTATAAAAATGTGTTGCTTTTGATACATTCACTAGGGACTATAAAGAATTTGCTAAAGAGATATTTTCTTTGTAATATTAAGTTGATATTTTATATTTTTATAAATATCGCATTAAAAGTAGATCTCAGTTTGTAGGAAAAAATAGACAATTTCCAACGCACTTTTCAACAGATTGTTGAAGAAACATATTAGACTGAAGAAAAATATTATATTATATTATATAAGTTTTAGTGATAGATGGCAAATAATCAGATAACAGATAATATTTGACGTTAAAAAATCAATTAATGATAAAATAGACTGATACATATATATCTGTTTTAAATTATTATTAAAAAAAAATTATAATCTACTTCTCGTCTATCTATCTCGATGCGACTAATAAATTGTCAGGATTAAAAGGGTTCCCCATTAGTAATAAATGCAGTGTTCTTGAATGTGATGTAAAACTGAATCGTAATTCTCATGCGCCACCGATCATTTCGATGTTCGTTTACACTTTTACTTCATCCCCCTGTCGCCTGATTAATGGGAATTACAGCGGACTATAAAAGAATAAGGACGCCTCGTATTTGATCGCGCGAATTACACTGAAGTATAAAATTTATGGACTAACACACTGTTGCCTCGATGCGAGTAACAAGTTATAAATATCGGATCGGGTGTGTACAAACGCCATTTCATTTATCCATGAAATTTTCCGATATAGATAAATTATGCAGCATCGGAAATACGCCAATAATAGCAACGGATTAATTTAGATCATTTACCAGCCTTTATGACTTGCTTTTACGTCGCTTATTGCTCTTTTCAATCCGATGAATAACTTATTTGTGGAATAAATATTCTAACGTTTGTTTAAATAGCCACATAGAGTTATCTAATTTTTGCGTCGGAATAATTCAAAACAGTAAATTTCACGCAATTATTTTATGAATCAGATCATCTGTTGTCGATGATAATAAATGAATGCTTTGCATTTTCCATTATTCACTCATTAACATTAAAATAAAGCATTGTAGAAATATGTGTTCTTATATTCTAATTAATTTTAATATTATCAATATTAATGTTAACATTAAAATCAATCAATATTAATGTTAATCTAAAGGCTGAATAAATATTTAAACATGGTTTCTAATATTCCTCGTATTTACAAATGTGACTTTTATTAAGATAAAAAAAATATTAGTAATTTACAGTAATAATAATGCATGGAATAAATTGCTACGTTCGGTTTTTATTTAAAATAACGATCTTTAATTCGATCTAAATTTATTGAATGTGGAATTTGATGGAGTGCTGATTTTTCGACCGCACGACAGAATTAAATGAAAAACAACGTGTGTCTGACGCGAAGAATTACGTGGCGAGTGAAGATAACATTGTCTTCAGCAATTGGTCTTTTCTCGCTGAAAGCTATGGTTTGGCTCTATCAGCCTTTATCAGCTAATTGAAATTTTCAAAGGTAGTCGTTTGCTGGAATTGGATTAAAAACTGAGTAGTTATTGGAGATCAAGGAAATCTATTTTCTGTCGTTCAAATAGCACAACGACGAATTCTATATATTGGCTATTATTGGCGTACATATTATTGTACATGTCTGTTCTTTTTTAATCATATCATCAATATTACCAAATATCAACTGGTAATCAATATTTTCACAGAAAAAAAAATGAATAGAAAATCGCTGCTTTATAATTTATAACACGCCTGGATTAAGTTTGATTCGAGAAGATTGAATTTTTTAACAATTTTATTTTTATCGGAAAAATTACTATAATTTATCGGAGTGGAGATATACGCGGAAATTTCGAGCGGAATTTTTCACGTGGAAACTGGCTCCGAAATGCGTTTCTCGGTGCCGAGAATCAATTTTCGTTACCGGTATATATATCTTTCTCGGGACACCTCGTGGACGCGACGATGAAGCCTCGGAGTAGATGATGCTTCCTTCCTCCGTTTGTATCTGTCGATTGCCAATATCTTGGCAAGACGGTGGCAAGAGACGGCGGGATCGAACAGACAGGATTCTTGGTTCCGATAAAGAGTTAGTGCTCACTTGTTGACCCGCTTCGACGATCGTAACTTATCGAGATACAAGACCGGCGATCGAGAGAAACGACGCGCGGCCAGACTCCGGAGTCTCGGATTTATCGAGAGGTCTTAATAACGTCGGGTGACGTCGAGATTTTTATGACTGACACGACGTGTGCGATAAAGATCGCGCGACACCGATGCGGCTTAATGTGCGGATTTTCACTCTGATAATCGGCTGATCCTCGCGCGGTCCTCGACTCACGGACTCGCGATTAATTGAACGATTCGCATCTCATCGACGCTCGTTGTTACATCATTGTTACATCATCGGCACTTAATTCGCTCGAAAATTAGCACTGCATACCGAAAGAGAGATCAACGGTGAACGGTTATCTACGGGCAATTCCAGTTGTAGTGTCATTAGTTAGCCGCCGATCTAACAGCGTTAGCGAGAGCCAACGTGGCGCGTTGCGTGGCAAGTAAATTTTCTGTTTTATCGTTTGTATGCAAATTATCGCGGGACAGTAGGCATTTCGACTCGTCATTCGGTACGATCCGATTGGATTGCGGCGCGTCCGCGTAGTGGAGTAGAATTACAGACGCGGTACGCCGACCAATGTCGATCCGTTACAACGGATAGCTACAGATAGAACCGATAATGAATTGGAATTGTTTGCAAACTGCACGGGCGCTTTAGCAACAACGCGAGTACCGCCATTCGCTACAATTGCGCGCATAGTTATTCGTATAATATGTTCGTATAATATGTTTCGATAATTGGAGGCTTTTACGTACGGGTCCGATTGGAATTGCACGTTACTATGCCAATGATGGGTCTCTCCCGTTATCAATAAGGTCAACCTGTCACATTCGGAAACGCACGCCACGACGCGAGTGTCTTTGTCTAAGTTGAATTGCTTCCTCCGATATCTAATTGCCTTGTATAGTTGCGGATATTATTTTTAAAGCGGAAGTTCGTTGCAAAATGATTTTAGCTTAAACTTGAAACTTTTGCTTTAAATACCAGATTAATCTTATTAATATGAGAGAAATAATTTAATTAATAAATCTAACATTTATTGATGTGAAATGAGCAGCTTAAAAGTTTAAAGGTTTAAAAAATATGCGATATATATTTATTCCGGCATTTTAACATTATTTCGTAATGAGCAGAGAATTTTAATACATTTTATTCTTACTTATTAGTCGTTGAAAAATGATATAATATGTGACAACATTTCTCGTTAGTGCGGATATTTGATAAAATAATGTTTTTTGTTAATGAATAATGAATCAACAATCAGAAATTGCGAGACGATATTAAAATGTCGGCACAGACGATGCTTTCGACAGAAAAAGCAAAACGACGAAATAACAGCCGACGGAGAGAAAGGATGGAGAACTTAATGAATTCCATGTTGAATTTACCTGTGCACCGACGAGGCCAGCGCGTAATCTAGGGATGTCTGTGTGACTCCAGTCTGATCTGGCCCAAGGGTCGACCCTGCCGAGGTCGCTGCTCAGGTTGACCTCGCCAAGTTGATTGTGTACGAACTTTCTGACGTTCCAGGGCAAATCGTTGTGCCTGCGAATGAAAAGTTTATATTGTAGGAGTCGAAACAAAAATATCACACACAATACATACGATATTTTGTTACGCTCGGCAGTATGACTAAACAACTATCTTCATTATCAATTTTTATTATTTATGATATTTCATACTGAGAGATATTTACTATTCGAATATGAGCTATGGGACATTATATACTTGAATAATACATTCGAAATGTATAATGATCAACACACACACACACATATATATATATATATATATATATATATATATATATATATATATATATATATATATACTATATTACT